GCCGTCGCTGAGCGCCCCGTGACTGCCTTTTTTCCGGGTCGGCTCACCGCTCCCGTGCCACGGCGCCTCCCGCCGTGGCGCTAAGCAGTGTTCCGCCCTAGCCTGCGTTCTCCTTCCGCAGGGTGCCCTCCCGGCGCCCCGCGCAGGCAAAGACCTCTTGTGCCCCGCCGCGGTTCAAAAAGGTGTGACCGGCGCTCGTGCTTTTTGCGGCTTCGTGGCGTCAACCGCGCTTGTGCTTGTGCAACGCCGCGTCCCGCCTCGCGCTGCACCGTCCGTACCGCGTCGCGCCAACATGGCCGCCGCCCGTGGCCTGTCCGGCGAATCCGCCCCCCTCGCCCCAGGCGCTTCCACCCCGCCGCTGGCTGGAGGCGCCACACCACCCGCAGCATGCGACGAACTGTGTTGCGTTTGCCAGGACGGGCTTCACCCTTGCGCGTCCGGGGGCCTCCGCCCTGTTCCTTTCCCGGTGTGTTCACGCCATGCCCTCCACCTCGAATGTCTCGCTCGTTGGCGCGCGCACGCTGGCGACGCGTCCGACCTACGCTGCCCGCTCTGTCGTCCCGCGTGCCCCGCGTGCACTCCGGAGGGCTGGACCTCTGCACACGACACTGCGTTGACCCGTCTGTGTGTGGAGAACGGCGTCCGCATCCCTGGCCGGGAGCCTACTTTCCCAACCGTGCGAGCGAGCGTGCCCGACTACACCACCCGCACGTTCACCCAGCAGGACGCGCCCCCACCGCAGGAACCAATACATGTCACCGTCTCCTGCTGCCCCCGGGTCGCCCTGCTGCGCGGCCCGGAAGGCACCCAGTTTCGCGAGTTGCCCGACCGCGAAGCACGGTGGTCCCCCATTCCTCATCGCCATTCTGGTGGCATCGCTGCGTGGACTCTCGCCTGGGCTTGCGCAGCGTGTTCGCGCCACATCCAATGGGACGAGGCCGCGGTCCCACCCGAGGCCGGCTCCGCTTGCCCCTCCTGCCAGCAGCCCCGGCGGTGGCTCTTCGACGCACGCGCCTCCGCCGGCCGCCTCGCTTGCCACTGTGAGGCTGCTCCGACCACGCCAGCCCTGACGGCCGCCCTGCCCACCCCGCCGCCGGTCCCCGGCCTCGCGTGGGCGCGTCGCGGGCCGCCGGCCGGCCTTGTCACCACCCCGACGAACTCGTGGTGCTACGTGCCCCTCCTCCACGCCGCCACTGGCACCATGGCCCCGGCCACAGCCGCGCTTTGGGAGCACGAACCCCGGAGCGCGCCCTGGTGGGCCACCGCTCGCCAGACGCTGGCAGAAGCGCCTCCAGTTCGACCGGCCCAACTCCTCGACGCACTAG